CTTGCATGGCTCTCAATACCAATTGGGCGGAGTAACGCAGAACAGACATACTGGCTTTTACACACGACACAATGGTAGCTAGTTCCTCTTCTTCAAGGAGTGCACGTGCCTCGTCGTCTAGCAGAAGTCGATTGCCCAACAAATCGGGTTCTTCAGTGGTTGTCAGAAGCCCACGTCCACTCGATTTTGTCGATGCACATTGTTGTGATGCCGGTTTCATGTGAAGTACCCTCTTCCATTTCTCCTCGTCCATTTTGATGCCGCATTCGTCAAATAGTTGTGCACAGAATGATTGAATCTCTTCAGTCATACACAAGTTGACCAACGGGTGCTTGCATAGGCCACATACCAGCGGATAACGCGCTCCATGGAACACAATTGTGTGAATCTGAAAGATAGACAAATACAGGGTGTGCTCTGGTTGCCGATTGTTGTTCCTCACCGGTACACATGATCACGTCGGAAGTGATTGCAGCCGAAAAGTCTTGATCAGACATGCTCACTGTTATCGAAGGCGAGCCGATCTATTGAATATATTACAAATATCGTACACCCGAGGATCAAAACACACTACGGGTTGTCCTGTCTGGAATTAACTACACCTTTGTCATTTTAGTTGGTCGACATTTCAATCGCATGTTTCAAAATTGTGTAGTTACAGTTTTGTACGTCCCATTGTTCACGAGGCGGACAAATTTTCTGTTAATCCAACGAGGTCTGGTTGTGTACGTAGTTGACTGAGATTTGAATCATCTACTGTTTTTCCGGTAGTTCATGATTAACCGTTGCCCACTGGTTCTGTTATTCACTGCACGAGTGAACTTGGTTGATTCGAACAAACCAAAACGAATGCCTTTTCGTATCTGGTGCCCTTGCCTTGAATTCTGTTCATTCAGACGATCGTTATGCAGCCAGTCTGATACAATTGTGGTAGTAACAGCTTGACGATAGGAAACTGACTTAAACCATAAACAGTCGTTGAAGATTCATAAATGTACAAGCTACAAAGTTTTCCCGGCTCGCAGACTGATCCTTTGACAAAGCGTTTTTTACCAAGCAATTGCAAGGGAAACTAGTCTCCTTGACGTGCTTCTTCGAGCGACTATTCATAGATATTATTTTATGGTGTTACACTGGTGGTCATACTTTCGTTTGATAGGTGATCAGAAAAAACCGATTATTGAGAGGAACTCTGAACCGTACTCACTCGAATTGATTTCTTCATTTGGTACTGAACTGCACGAAAGATATACCACCTATGGCACAGTTTCAACTGATCACTTCTGAAACAGTCAATAAAAGGCCTATTTAGGATAGTTTTCTTATGAAAGATAAATAAGTTGGGCCGTTTATTGGCTTACTGTGAACTTCTAGTAGTTTACCCGATTGTATACTAAAAGACTAATCGATATTTAATAGTTTTCAACGGTGGTTAGTCAGTTTATTTGGACTTACGTAATCCTTTCGACACCACAAGTAACTGGACTTGCAGCGTTGTTCTTGTGTGGGTCTTACTCATAGATCCTAGAACAAATAATTTGCGACCAACTTACCTGAAAAGCAAAGTGATCCTCCAGGATTGTGTAACACTGAAAACATGTCCGAGTCGGGTCAATTAGGCCGGAAAATGTGCCCGACCGGCGCATCTGGATCATCCGAGCCTCCAATGTCTTGGCATGCTCATCACGAATGTGCGTAATCAGGGCTCGAACACTTGGCATCAGGCCGCTTTTACACGCTCGACAAGACAGATGCTGTGCGTGCGTTGCCATTCGTAATTTCTTCCGAATCTCCTCCGGCACATCGGCTACATTGCGTTCGAGCCACGCGGGGATCGGGTAACGACTCGCTCGATAACTGAATAGATAATCTCGGTTGAAGCTCTGTAGCAGAAATGAGGGAGGGGTTGGTGGCGGTTAACGTTATAATTCATTTTAGGATTGTTTTACTACCGAAACTAATTCTGTTAGCCTGGTTGACTGATAAGGTGCACATCATTGATTCTTATTTTATCCCCATGTAAAACTACTGTGGTTTCATTCTCGGTCAAGATAACGGGCTGAGAGAATATCGTCTGGACTGAAGTTGAACTATTCTCAAATAAGCCAAGTTACCAGCAACAAATAAAATTCGGGAAATTTATTCACCAAAACATAGTTATCAGTACTTGTGATACTAGGAGGCACGCTCATCCGATTGCAGGTTATGAGCTATGATAGGAATGGGGTTAAGGGACCACCACAACATTGAAAAGTTTATTTGCGCTATATTTCTGTGCCTGCTCGTTATCCTTGCAACCTTGGTCCATGTGAATTTGCCATCTCCTCTTTGACTCTGTGTAATATTCGGAATCGAATAGCGCCAACTCGGACTGAAAACCCGCTGAATAGCACAGAGTTAGGTAGAACCAAAATGAGCTATGGATACAGTTAATTCTATTCAGAAAATCATGCAAATAAATATCACAATCATCAAGCAATCATTGGTCCATTCCTCAATGTCCAATCAAGAATGATATCAGTTCAGTTTTTACAGTCAATAACCATGCACTTTCGTGCGCCGGATTCGGGTGGTGTCTTATGATACTCCATTTGGATAAAGAGTACAATGAAGATTGGAATGTTGAAAGCGAATTCAGGCGGAAGATGGAGAATTCATATGATTCATTTGCGTTCCTTATTACATTCAACCAATCCGGTTAGTGCCACTGAAGACCACAGGATTGGTCGGTAAATCCGTGTCAGGATTGGTTGCCTGGAAGCTGTATCGTGGTGCGTGCCTACGTGTTACACGATCACCACGCTCTGCTCGCAACATTCCATCCTTCCTTTAGCTCCTTTATTCAAATGGGCAGTCATGAGGCAGTAACCAAAGCCAGCGCACGGTTAATGGTTGTAAAAAAAAAAAGAAACTGGAATCGGGTTCACGCTCGGGAAACAGTCGCAAGAGATGAGATCAATGTTCAAATCGAGCTCTCATTAAAGAGGGAGGAATTGAATAGTGCCATCATTAAATATGGATGGAAATTCATTGTATCCATTCTGAGGAAACTCTGGTTCTGGTGAGGTATGATGCTTTTGTTCGTGAAAAAGTATCTTTGCAGTCATTCTTCTCGAGTGTGATGTTCCGACCGCTTTAAGAACCTCAACACCTTACCCATCTCATTGAGACAACCCTTCCTCTGACTGGGATCCTGAGAAGAATACAATAACCGATGTTTTATTTTTGGTTTTCTGGGATTCATTCCGATCCTGTCTAGGCAACCTGATCTCTCAGGGGATTCACGAACTTCGGTTAAACCCGATTTATATTGTGCATCGCGGATTCGCTTGCAGAACCGCGGAACCCACCACTGGCAACATGGAATGTATTCAATTCACTCCCCTCGCCCGAATGTGCCCGCATTTCACACATGGCATCGCCATTTATTTATGCATCACTCTCCTGCCCATTCATCTTTCACGCATTGTAGCACAAGCACGCACACGTGACCATTGCCAATAGTTGTTTATGAACCATTAGTTGCCCTTTGTGCTACCCGATTTCGATCTGAAGTAGTGGTTGCTTGCACGTCTCTTCCTGTATCCACATCAGGCGTGTACGGGGCTCATTGGTCTTAATTAACGAACAGTATTCAGCTTCAATTCGGAGTTACGGTGGATTTGGTTAACCTTCTTCTCCTGTGATAGATGTACAGCATCACTTAAAATCGATCAGAATTTGCACCACGGATGTTCAACAAATGGTGGGCACCTTTGGTATAGGCTTCTCAGATAGCAGTTGCTTCTAGTAACATGACTACGAACGGTTCACTATTCACGAATAATGTGCGAGTGCAAATTTAGACAACAACTGCAGTGTTTTGGATTGCATCATCCAATTTCCCGAATATCTTTGCCTTTTTTCTTTGAGGAGAAAACTGAAGCTCTGTTGATGTTAAATTGATCCCAATAATCTTCGAATTCACTCATATTCATGATTAGTTCACCACAACATGACCACAAACAAGCTTAGTCAGCCGAAGGGGGTAGCAGTTTGACATGGCCACATAACATACGTATCGATAACGTAAGCCTGATGCCGTAGAACCGAAACGAATAAAAAAAGTTTAAGTAAGTTTTCCTAACCTTGATAAAGTGCTTCAATTGGTGAAAGTGATCACTGAACAATGATGAGGATGAGGATGATACATGGCAACCAGTGTCTGGTTCATTTTCTTGATCATGAGTGAATTAGAACAATACTAAAAAAGTAATTAATTGTGAAACTTGGGGAGAATATTTGGTCAAAATAACACATATGTGGGCAGAACTAATAATGGTCATCAAGTTTGTGTGCTCTTTCATCTGTAAACGCACATTTGTACAGTCATATCAAACGGAGAAACGTACGAATTGCAATGAGTGATTAAAAGGGGACGGGGATAAGTGAGTTTTGTAATTGGGTATGACTATGGGGTCCTTTAGTTCGTTTAAATGATTCATTCTAATTCGTGTGTTTCTCCTCGTGCCACGATTTTTTGAATGTGCATTTACAGCTGAATGGGAGCACGCAAACTAGATGTATTCTACTCTTATGTCGGTGAAATAAAGATTCCACATCAGAAGGAACATTCGCTGTCTTTATTGACTGCATACCTCTCTAGAAAGGAATCCCTATGTTCAAGGTGAAATAGTTTTGAGTTATGATAAGTTAAATTTCGAAGAAATATTTCTCTTTGCTCTGCGCGAATTCACAGTGACTAGGCTCTGAAAGCCGGTTTTAGTCCTTCGGAACTCATTCCTTGTTACGCGGTTGGTTCGCATATAACTGGCAAATTTTGCTCAACTAGGAATATTATACACCTGGTCTTTTTCGGTTATACCTATATTTGTACTTACCGGGAATCAAATAGTGGACATTTTATCCTTGCCTACATGCTTTATGATCGTGATCTTGAGGACAATGCAACATCAACCTGAATGTCTATTGCAGGAGCCCATGCGACCCTAAGGTTGCACGACTTATTTCCGGAATTATTCCGCTGCCTCTCTGCAGAATCATCACTAGTAAGACATGAGTAAGGTCGATCGGGAGAAATCATTCCCTACCACTTACAGTACAATGAGCTCCCAGTTACGGTGACGATGACAAACAAGGGATAAAAGCCCATTGTGTGCTAGGAAAAGGAGCTAAATGTTACTTCTGGTTTACCCTTATGTATGATGCCGTGTTCAAGTGAAGTCAAGTCCTACAGAGATGCACTGAACTAATTCTGGAACTACAGTGTGCAGTGTTGTAATTTTCTTCTTGTTTTTGTTCGAACCCTTTGATCGTTATCCAGACATCTGGAATTGGTACACCGACCCGAATAACCAAACGCTACCTGACCACGTTTACTTGCTTACAAATGATAGTTTCTTGTTAGTCTCTGATATTCATCAAGCAAAACTCGTCGTATGTGATTTCATTCCCCCGACCACAAATCATGAAACCCAGTCAGGTCCGCGATACCAACTGATGAATGGCAGTGTGGGTAAGGAGAAGACAGCTTCACGAATTGTGATTGCAACCGCATTATTGTGCTTGCATTACCTCTCTATTGTAGCTTGTGACTGAAGTGTAATGTAGGAGGGGTAGGTAGACATTAGACGACCTCTGACAAAGTTGTTATGCAACCGTCCATTGGCATCATTACTTGTTGTTCTGCCTCGGTGCTGTATAGCTTTTATTTGTGCAAAGAACTCGTTTTCTCAAAGTTCCTGATATTGAATTATATAAATAAATGTTGGAAAACATCAAAAAGCGTCAAGATCTATTGGGTTGGAGAGAGCTCAGTTGAATGTTCACATGTCGAATTGATGGTAGACTCATCACTTCACGCTTAGAAAGCAAGTGAACCAGTTAAGTGTTTTTCAGCGGGAAGATTGAGCTGGTCCACTTAGAACCATTCGTTTTTCAATTCCGGCTTGTCAACCCATGAATTCGGCATTTCCATTTCCAGGTTTCCACCTTCAGGCTCACCACCATTGAGAAAAAAAATGTTTATTAAACGATTAACAGTGCTACGCTTCAGGGTATATTGCATATGTAGGAATTTGTGACTTAATCTTCCCGACAAATTTTACCGGTCCAGATTGTTATGTCTTTCCTACAGGTTATAATATCGGCGCCTTTTCCAACCCCAATCGACCCCATAATTCTCAGGAACCGAGGACAGTGACATGCGTAACACATGATTCAGCCAACGGATCAAAAGAGGAGCAACATCTGCATAGGCGCATTTTCAATCAACNCAATCAACATTCCTATATAATCAAACGTGTTCACAAAAAAATCAAACTTCGCTCCTACTTTTTTTAACTATCGCACTTTCCACATCTTAGTAGGTAGAACGATGTCACCAAAAGGCACAGAATCTAATTCAGGGGATTTGTAACGAGCGTAGAAAAATTTTGATCACAGCTTACTTTTTACCGCAAATGAATAATGGCATAAGAATACTAAATTCTTTGCACCATAAGACTTGCACAGAACATTCATCATATAATTCATGTAATTAGTGGTTGTTGAATTCACCACCAGTTTGTGCATTTTCTCGCGATGACCCAGGATTCAAGGATGGGATTGACATTTTATTGTTCACTACTGGCATGTTGTCAGTAGTGCAATCATAGAAATCACATTTATCGATCATAACATCCCATCCCGTTTTTGTGTCCCGTCAATTGGCACTTCAAGTTTTCCTCGAGCAGTAGCAACTAGGTACCAAGAACTTTTTTTCGCAATTTTTGTCGAGTAGTGCTTTGATAAATTTTAACTGGAATTGGTTTTCCCACAGCAAAATCAGACTATGGTTTCTGTGAGAGTCGTGTTTCCAATGCCTCCAAGCACAATATATTGC